TATCTATAGTATATGAGCTCAATTCTATTGTTAGAATTGAGGACAGACGTACCTCGAAGCGAGGATGGAGGGGGAACTGCCTCAACAAATCTTTGTGCCTTTTATTTTCTGCACTTTCATTTTTGCTTAACAATTGAGTAATTTTAGTACAAGCAATTCTATCAAATTTAGTATTGGTTTGAGTAAGTGCTGAAAATTGTTTTTGACTCTAGTACAATATTTTATTGTACAAGGAAGCTAGAGCTACTTACTCAAGGAAAAACTCACTTGGAGTGCTATGCACGCCAAGTGTTTGATAAATTGTGTAAACCAAAATTCTCTTGTGCTGTCCATATAATTTGTTGACATTTTGAGGCATTGGAACTAGTCATACAAATTAGTGATATTAATCAATTGATAGTGTGACTAGTGTGGTGATTCTCTTTGCTCATTATCATATCCATAGGGTAGACGCATATCCGGTTTTCTAATAATGGTTCGTTATAGATGGGAATTTTTCCACGACCTCTTCCGCATATCAAATAATATTAAAACCAATTTTTTATTGGTAGCGCCGACTGATTTTTTAATTAGGATCTATTCAATCCCCCTTCTAGATCCGTGCCATCGTCTAACAAATTTCACTTCGCTAGGTTGCGACGTGAAATTCATTTCGCTGATTGGCCTATATATGTTCCAGCTTTCTCTCTCTTGCCCATACCCGTTTCATGCATATTCTTCATCATTTTTCTTTCTCAGCAATTCCTTCCTCTTCTTCATTCTAACATAATCAATTACTTGTTCATTTTCAATTCATCTTCAAATTTTCTTCCTCCAATATTATCAATCTCAAAAGGTATTTTAATATAGTTTAATTTTTTGTTTTTTATTTGTTAAATATTGTGTTGATTTTTTAATTGTATAAATAACATTGTTAATCTTTTTCTTCAAGATTCATCAAGGTATATCTATTGGATTGTTGGTTCTTCAAAATTCTTCAAGCATCCAGGGTTCAAGATTGAAGCATTTTTTTTTATCTTCATTGAGGTATTTAAAAATTTAACATTATTTTTTTCAAATTTAAATAAATATATTAGTTGTTGGTTGTTGGCTGTTGTTATTGCAAATTTACATGTAGTATAACTTTTTTTAAACATAATTTTATTAAAATAAATATATAGTAAATCCAAAAATAATTTATTAATATATTTAAATAGATTTTTTTAAATTGAATATTATTTTTCATAATATTTTATTCTGTTTATTTTTTTTCAAAAACTAAAAATTATTTTTCACAATATATTATTAAAAAATATTGTTTTTCAGAGTATCATTTTTCATAATATATTATTTTTTGAAATATATTATATTACATTTTAAATCAAACAAAATATATTATATTATATTTTAAATAAAAATAGAATATATTTTTATAATATATTATTTTTTGTAATAGATTATTTGTTATATTATATTATATTATTTATTTTAAATAAAAATAATATATTATGTTTTAATTTTTATTATTATGGTATATATATGTAATAAAAAAAATATATTTTATAAGCGGTTAGCTACCAAAGACAGAGTAGTAAAATTTGGTCTGATCAATAAAGATAATTTTATTTTCTGTCGAGAGAAGGAAAATATGCAACATATAATGTTCGAATGTAACACTATCAGAAATATTTGGGCAGGGGTACTTCAGTGGTTAAACATAAAGCATGAACCTCTCTCTAGCTTGGGATGATGAAATTAAAAGAATATTTCAGCAAAGTATCAAGAATATCTGGAGAGCTAAGATTCTCAAAACTGCCTTTACAGAGATAGTTTATGGATGTTGGATGTACAGAAACGAAGAAGTTTATAGAGATACTGAAAAAATATCGACGGACAAATACATAGGAATTTTAAGGAAGATTATAAACATTATAATCACTAGAGTGTGGAGAAAGCCTATGTTTAGAGAGCGTGTTGCTTAGCTGATTATGCCTTAGCTTTTTTTTTTTTTTTGGATTGTTGAGCCTTTTGGTCGCTTTGTTTTAACCTCTTTTGAAATTAATATATCTTATTTTCTCAACAATAAAAAAAGAATAATAATTTTTTTAAACAAAATATTTATTTAAAATATAATATATTATATATGTATATTTAAAACAAAATAAAATAGAATATAGTTATATTTTATGTATATTAAAAGAAAAATATATTAATTAAAAACAACATGGTGTGAAATATTTTTTTTTAAAACATAATAATTTTTTTCAAATTATATATATATATATATATATATATATATATATATATATATATATATATATATATATATATATATATATATATATATATATATATATATATATATATATATATATATATATATATATATATATATATATATATATATATATATATGTTATGTTATATATATATATTTTTCTTAAAATGTTAATATGCTATATATATTCTTAAATGTTTAAATGTTTATCATATGAATTATATATAAGTTTATAAAAATGTTTAAAAAATAAAATGTAATAAATGTATTATACATAAGTTTATATATATTTAAACAAAATGTTATATATGTTTTTAACCAAATTGTTATTAAAACAAAATATACATATAATAAACTTATATATACATAAATATGTTATATATGTACCATATATAAGTTTATATATATATATATATATATATATATATATATATATATATATATATATATATATATATATATATATATATATATATATATATATATATATATATATATATATATATATATATATATATATATATATATATATATATATATATATATATATATATATATATATATATATTTAAACAAAATATTTATTATATAAGTTTATAAAAAAAAATATGTTATGTTAATTATGTTATGTTATATTATATGTAATGTTATATGTTATGTATTATATGTTATGTTATATTATATGTTTATATGTTTATTAAATGTTTAATTAAAAGAAAAATAAAATATTTATGTTTATCTTAAAGAATTTAATATTTAAGTTTATAAAAAATAAAATAGTATGAAATTTATTTGTAGTTATATATATTAAGAATAATTAAAAATTAGTAGAAAATTTGTTTGTATGAAAAATACTTTTTAGTTAATATAAAATTATGTTTAAGAATAATATTAAGTTAGTTAACACTTGTAGTTAATGCTTTATCAAAATTTCCGAAATTAGTTGATATATTAAAATCTCATTTGTAATTAAAAAGGCAATGATTGTATAAATGTGCAGTATGAAATATTATCGGTACTATCATAGTTGGATATACGATAGGTTGTATCTAGAAAGACGCATACTTAAACCAAATTTTGAGAAAGGAGTTAAATGGTTTATCACGTGGACATTTTCTCAGAAATGTTGTCGAAGCAAAGGAGAAGTTAGATGTCCTTGTCTTAAATGTGAATGCAGACCTATAATTAGTGACCTAGAGGAAGTAGAACGTCATTTAAAGAGAATGAGTTTCATTGAAAATGATTGAGTTTGGACATATAATGGAGAAGAATTGTTGAGTAACGTACCAAATACCAGTAATGCGTATGCTTCAAGTAGTTAATCACCGATGAAATATGGAGAAAAACTTAATCTGATCGGTGAGATGGTGGGCGATGCTTTTGGTGTGAATGTGACCTATGATGAACCTGGAAATTTTGATGGGGAAGAGTTGCCGAGTGAGGAAGCACAAAAATGTATCAGTTGTTGAATGAGATGAATACGATGTTATTTAAGGGGTCGTCAGACTCAAAATTATCAATATGTGTGAGATTATTGGCCTCCAAGTCAAATTGGAATGTTCCTGATCAATGTTTGGAATTCTTCACAAAAATTATGCTCGACGCGACTCCTATGAAAGACAACTTGCCTACAAGTTTTTATGATGCAAAAACAGTAGGTGTCAAAGTTGAGTTTATAAGTAAGAAAAATTGATTGTTGAATTATTGGTTGCATGTTGTTTTATGACAATGAGTTTGGTACTAGTGATGGAGCGTCAGAGGAATGTAAGTTTTGTAAGAGTCCAAGATATTAAGTTCGCTGTAAAGCCATTAATCGTAAGCAAAAGCATGTAGCAGTGAAGTCCATGTTTTATCTTCCGATAATATCAAAGTTAAAAAGAATGTTTGCTTCAATGCACAATGCAAGTCAAATGACATGACATCATACAAACAAAACAAGTTCAGACACTATGCGACATCCATCTGATGGCGAGGCATGAAAGTACTTTGATCACATACGTACTCATTTTGCCGTAGAATGTAGAAATGACAGGCTTGGATTATGCTCTGATGCTTTTACTCCATATGTCCAAGCGTCTGTAAATGGATATTCTTGTTGACCAGTTATTGTAACCCCTTACAACCTCCCTCCTGAGATGTGCATGATGAAACCATACATGTTTTGACCTGCCTCATTCCAGGACCGTCGAGGCCAAAAGCCGGAATCGATGTGTACTTACAACCTTTAATTGATGATTTGAAGAAGTTGTGGATTGGAGAATGGACTTATGATATATCATGTAAACAAAACTTTACTATGCGAGCTGCCTTGATGTAGACTATTAACATACATGCTCATTTTTCAGCATGGTTTAAGGAGAAATTGTCATGCATTGTTGCACCGACTCAAGAAATACTCCATTTGAGAAACCTGTCTGAAGGTCTTATTCAAAGCGCAAAGTAATGGCACACATACTTCATGAACGAATATAAATTTCACACTGAGACATGGACTGAAGGGAAAAAAACCATAAACAGTGGTGTATTTGTAAAAGGAGTTACAAATGATGGTGGAGACAACTTCTATGGTTTTGTTAAACATATCTACGAGTTGGTATACAATTACTTAGACTCGGAAAATAAAGTTGTCTTGTTTTATTGTGACTAGTACGATCCATCTGCAGAGGTACAAAAATAGATAAGACATATGCTACTATTGAGATTCGAATAAACCGAAGGTACAAAAAGTATGACCCTTTTCATAATGTCACATATTGTTAGGCAAGTTTACTATGTTCCTTATCCTTCAATTGTGCCACGTAAACGAGGATGGTGTGTTGTAATCAAAACAAAACCATTAGGTCATACTGAAACTGGAAATCTAGTGGAAGATATTGCTTACCAAGTTGATAAAGTTGAACAAATTAATGATGTGATTGGAGTTGAACAAATTACAACTTTGTCTAATACAACGGTTGAGGGGCATCAAGTTGATGCGTCTATATTTTTGGTAGAAAATAATATGGACAAAGAGCTTGAAGAGTTTGGATCCGAGGACAATATCACATCAGATGATGAGAATGATATGGATGAAGAGCATGGAGATTTTGAATAAATTATTTTTGTAATTTTACTTTATGAAACCTTGTATTGAATGTGTTAATGAATATATATTGATGAGAATTTTAGATTTATTATTTATGTTGACGAATATATATTAAATGTGTATTCTCTATACATAGGTAAAATTTCACCCCCAATCTGATAAGGGTAAGGGTAGTGGTAGCGGTAAGAAGACCCGATCTCCGAGGGTAATATTATGTCAGGAACCACAGTCGGCCATGTGTCCTCCCCCGCAGATTTAGGTAGATCATATGTCCAAGGCCAGTTCTCATCCTCTTATGACATTACTCTCCCCTCATGAGTATCTAGTTTTTATTAGCCCATCTGGGACTCTAACTTTTATTAGTCCATCTGAGGGACCTAGTTATCCATACCACCAGACTAGGGGACCTAACTATCTATACCAGCAGTTACCCTCATCCTTCATGCAGCCTGCGGGATCTAGCTTTCCACCTCCTTCACATGTACCCTCATCCTTCATGCAGTTTCGGGGGTCTAGATTTCCACTTCCCCCACAGGTACCCTCATCCTTCACGCAGTCTGGGGGATCCCGCACCGCACATCCCATACAGGTACCCTCATCCTTCATGCAGTCTGGGGTGTCCCACAGCACACATCCTACATAGGTACCTTTACCATCCACACATATACCTGTGCATGAGGATGACCATGAGGAGCCAGATGAGAACAATCATGAGGTGCATGATGAGGACATCGATCATAAAGAGGAGGCCGACAATTGTGAGGTGGTTCATATCATTGAAGGAAGATATTATATTTGACCCAACGAAAATTCGTAACTTATAAATTTTTATTTAAGTATACATGTTGCCATTTTTTATATAAACTTATATTTAATACTAATTTAAATTATTGATGTTTAGTTTCAACCCGAGTCGGACTGCTGGCCAGTGTATAAGTTATGTAATTCAGTAAAAGTATAAAAAAGGTTGGAAGAGATTTAAAGATGTTGATGGGAAAGAAAAAGAAGTTTGGTTTAAGTTATTTAAGGTATAATTAATTTATTTTTGTTAAGTTATTTAATTTATTTGTTAAGTTATTTTTGTTTAAATTACTTTTTTATTATAATTATCTAACTATTTATTTGAATGTCATACAACATTGCATAAAAATTCTACATGGGAAAAAATGAATGAGAAAGAGGTTAAAAAAAAATATTATGGCAGAACATCAGTTCAAGTTTCTGACATGCTACGACGTGCTAGAAAACGTTGGGAAAAAGAAAATATTCGTCACAACTGGATAAACAAAGAAGTATTTAATGAACTTCTTATCTATTGGGATACAACTAATTTTAAGGAAAGATCTGAAAAAAGTAAAGAAAATGATAACATCTGAAAAAGGGGTAGCCTTAATGTTGTTGGAAGTATAAGTGTTATCGAACATGCTCGACGCATGGTAATTATTACTACTTTTTTAAGTTGTATTTTGATTTATTATATATTTTTAATTAAATTAAATTTTATTATTTAGGAAAAGAATTTGTGGAGACCTCCACTCATGAAGGAGCTAGTTATAAAGACTCGAACAAAAAAATCGGAGAAATTTGTTGATGAACGTACCAAAAAAGCTTTGGTAAGTTATTTTATTTTATTTAAATTGTTTATATTTTATTTTATTTTATGGCAACTTTGTGGCGTGATTTTTACGTGGAAACTGAGATATTGTGGCGTGAAAGTCACATGGCTATATCTATTATTTAATTTAATTTATTTAAGCTATATTTAACTTAACGTTTTTATTGTATGTGTAGGAAGATTATCAAACACTGCTCACACAATTTTTGGTTGAAAATCCTCAATATACTCCGAGAGGTTCCGAGCCGCTTAATCCACGTGTGGATTTTTATATTTGAGGTTTAGTAAATGGCAGAGAGGGATCTAATGTGTGTTTTTTTGGTGCTGGAACTTTGGCCAGCAGTTTGAGAAAAAAGGATAGAACTTTATTTCAAAGAGTTAAGATGGGGAAGGAACGTCACATCTAGCATAATTGACGCCAGAAATGCTAGAAACGGTAAGACAACTAGCGCTAACTGAGGCGAAACACGAGTCGGTGCAACGTGAGGAGACGCTAAAGGCCCAAATTAAGGAACAACAACATTAAATAGAGGCAATGAAGAAAATGCAAGCTGATATGGAGGAGTTGATGCGATAATTTATGCAATCACAAGGGAGCAGTAATCAAACGTTTGGTGAAAATGAAGGAGTTGGTGGTCAAGAACAAATAGATGACGAGGATGACGATGATCTTATCCTTGACGAGTTTCCCGATCCCGATGATCCATAGGATTTATTTTATTTTAATTTTAAATTTTAATTATTTGAAAGATATTAATTATTCATTTAAGTATATTATAATCTTATTATTTTAAAAATTTATTATTAATTTATATTTAAAAAACAATTTATTATTAATTTTGTATATTTATTTATTTGTATTAAAAAAATTTATTATTAATTTAGAATATTAAAACGTAAAACAATTATAGTTTTCTATTTAAAAAAAAACATTTTGTGACGTGATTTTCACGTTGCAACTTTGCCATATGAAAATCACATCGTAAACTACTTACATATTTTCTACCATCACTGCTACTACCTGCTACTACTGAATTGCAGCAGGTAAAGTTGTAAAATTTGTGCACACTGTTGAAACAAAATTTTACGTGGCAAAGTTGCGACATGATTTTCATGACACAACAGAGTTGCCACACGTGCTCCTGCAGCGTGAAAGATCACGTCGCTAAAATCAGTTGTGAAGTGATTTTCACGTTGTGACGTGAATATCACGTGGCTACATACAATTTTTTTGTAGTGTCTCTTTCATTTGTTATTAGTACGAGTTGTATATGATGTAGAAATCCCATGAGAAACAATAGTAAAAATACTTAGAATTTTATTCTTTGAGTTTTGTAGCACTTGAAATTATCAGATGGGATTCGGAAAAATTTTAAACGCATTGAGTTTGTGTGATCTATTGTTACATATGGTTAACATCATTTTAATAGATAACATGTGAAGCAAGATGGTATGACATTATATTAAGAAATCCTGTCTCTATGAGCTCAAACAAAAAAAACAAAATGTAGAGCAAGATATTCCACACACTAAGCAACATTCGACCTCGCTCAGAAGCTAGTCAACACTGAATAAATCCCACATCTGGTGAAGATTTTTTTCTTTAATGCTTGTGTGTTTTATGCCATTTTTTAGAATAAGGAAAGAATTAGCAGAAGAACATTTTTCAAAATTTAAAGAGAACAATCAGATTAACTAATGGAGATTTACTATATCAAATATTGCAAATCAAATTAATGGAGATTAATGTATTGCACACTTTGGATTTACTTTATTCACAAGATATGTTCCAAACCCCAACGGACCATGCAACTATATTCTATTTTATTTAAGGAGGAACTCTCCATGTAGAAGACTCGGACCTTGGGATAACATCAAGGCGTGTTTAGTTTTCTCGAGTCTTTTGTTTTCTTTGTTATTTTGTGTTGTGAAACTCTATTCGCTAGTGTCTTTCTTATTTAGAGGAATAAAGTTTATTTTGAGTTGTAATTGTTTTAATATTTCATGCTATGTTGTAACTGTCCAAACACTTGAGAAAGTGGTTAAGAGAAAGTGAGAGAGGTCTCAAATTTAGGAGAAGTCCTGAATAAAACTTCACGGGTAGTATTAAAAAACAGTTTTGAACTCGAATGGTTCAACTAAGACCAATTTGTACATTTACTATTATGGATTTCCTTTCTTGGGTTAACGCCCATCAATTTCTTGTGTCCTTTTACTTTCTTCGCATTTTATTTGATACTGCATTAATCTTGTCACACACATTGTTTGGCACATTGTATCTGACATCTTTCTAGCAGAAGAACATAATTTCATAATTCATATACTGAGAGTTGAGAGATTAATTGAGAAACACTTGGGTAGAATATAATGTTTGTTCTTGGAAACTTTGAAGACTATTTTCTTGTAACTCATCTTGTAATCTTTTGTAACAATTTTTTTAGAATAGTGAATCAGAGAGTTGCTCTCTCTCTATACAATAGATCACTTTAATCATATTAGGTAACAAATTATGTGTGGCTTCCTTTTATACTTTTTGATCTTACCGAACAATCAGAATCTGAGATGGGCCAAGGACAAACGTCTATGATGCCGGGTGTGAAAGAGGAGGAAGGGGTGTACCTGCAAGGCACTCCGATGCTAAAGTAAGAAACAAGCAAGAGAGCGAGCAAGTACATAATATGTGTGTTTTAGGGTGAGAAATTGGATATCTGACCTTCTCAAAGGAGAGGGTTTTTATAATGCCCCCAGCGCTTGACCATTGGTCCTTATTTCGGGGTGAAATAACCGTTTCCTGAAGAATAGGTAATTGTCAGAAATAGCCGTTGGGACGGGGAGACGTGCCCATAACTAGCCGTTGGTGCGGGCAGAGGCGTAGTCACGGGCACAAGTGACTTGGCTGTTTCTGGATGGTGGAATCGTGCGAGACGAGCAGAGATTACAGGGAATAAGTGCTATGACCAAGAGCAAATAGGTCAGCCTCCCCTGTTGGAGGGGTAGAAAGGTAAACTTTTCACCAAAGAGGTTGGACCTGGGCAATTGGGACGTTCTCGGAGCAGATGTGGATAGGGCCATGTCCAGCCATTGGGCCAGTCCGGAACAGTAACCCCCTAAGTCGTTGCTACCGGGCACGATAGCGATGACTTAATGATGGTCTACTTCCCGGGCATAGTCGCCGTGAGCTTCCTTGTATTCGGATGAATACTTGCCCGAACGCCAGAAATGTCGTTGTCGGGGAGCTTGGGATCCGGGGAGCCCAGCAGTTGATGGGATCTGAAGAGTGGAGATGCCATGTGTGCCTCGAGCCGTATGCTGCATTAAATGCATGATAATGGCTAGGCTAGGGTCATGATGATGCCCTACCCGTGCGTGCTTGAGCACGTGCCTAGAGTTTGCC